TCTGTCCTTCGCCCTTGCTCTCTTTCCTTCGCCCTTTGTTCTCTCCCCTTCGCCCTTTTGCTCTCTGTCCTTTGCCGTTTGCTCTCTGTGCTTCGCCCTTGCTCTCTGTCCTTCACCCTTTTGCTCTCTGTCCTTCGCCCTTTGCTCTCTATCCTTTCGCCCTTTGCTCGCCCTCGTTCTCTGTACTTCGCACTTTGCTCTCTGTCCTTTTGCCTTTCTCTCTGTCGTTCGCCCTTGCTCTCTGTCCTTCTTTCTTCCTCTCTCTCCTTTGCCCTTCCTCTCTGTCATTTGCCCTTGCTCTCTGTCCTTCTTTCTTCCTCTCTCTCCTTCGCCCTTCTTCTCTGTCCTTCGCCCTTCCTCTCTGTCCTTCGCCCTTCCTCTCTGTCCTTCGCCTTTGGTCTGGGTCCTTCGCCTGTGTCCCTTCGCCCTCTGTCCCTCGAGAGAGACACTTGCCTTGAGTGGCTTCGAGAGGCACGGCCTTCACCATTGCGACGGGCGCGACAAGGACGGCGAGCCACCACGCCAATGCCCACGCGCGCTGCACGCGCTCACGATCACGTGTCGTCGCCGTTGAGCCCGCGGCAGCCGGCCCCCCAATCATCACAAAAATCCCTAATTAATTTGGCCCTCGCCTCCTCCTCAACCCTTGTCTCCTCGGGGCCCCACCCGCAACTGACTTTCGGCCTATCTAAGTGGTTCGCTGCCCCACCGACTCTGACGCACGAAAAGCGCCAAGCCGGTACTAGTACTTCTACGAGTGGGCTGCATTTGTGGCTTTCCTAACTAGGGTGAGCCGTCACACACCAACCAAAAGTTGTTGGGAAGTGAGTTCCGAATGTTCCTAATATGAAGTGCCCCTCACCTCACTGTTCCTTATTCGCGTCTCTTAAAGGATTTTCATTATCTTTAGAACAACCTCCCCAACTTAATTTTTAGAATAACCTCCTCAACCATATCTTTTTGTTACCATTAGTGGACTTGATTGAGCGAACGAAGATTGCACTATCGAAGCATATCTATACAATGAGAAAAGGCATGAGGGAGTTGTTAGATTGCAAAACAATATGGTAACGGTAATGAGGGACAAATAGGGTGCCTTACAGAGCTAGCGTCGAGATCTAGAATTGTCGAGGCGTGGGGTCGTGTCAGGAGATACTAATCGAGCCAAGTGGTTTGGGTGCGACGGTCGTGATGGCAGGAACAGTAGTTGAGGCGAATGTCACGAGGTGGTTAAGGGACACTGTTTGGTTGTGATGGTGGGAATAGTGTTGTACGCGGTATGTGAGGTGACGCACGGTAAGGAAATTATGATCCCTTACGCTACCCCTCTCCCCGAGGGAGGCTTTTACAAAAGTGCGTTGACATCGCAGAGAAATCTACTGCGAAGGTAGTCTGTCACGACTGGATACGTTTCGATTTTGGACCCTCTGACCCAGCAGAGCTAGAATTCGATATGGCGGGCTCTACGTAGATCACGAACATTGTAGCTGAGGACCTCCCTCCCACTTCTCTGTCAGAGGTCCACTTGTGATCCCCGATTGATCCTAGGGAAGGGTTACAGGCACGTTGGCCTGGGGGGTTATGGGCGCACTGACCCGCTACTGAAATAAGCCCTTTTATCCCAATGGTCTAGTGGTTGGGATTCTGAGATGGTATCAGAGCGAAGGTCTCGGGTTCGAATCCCGGTGTATGCACTTCGGGCATCCCAGTGCGGGGGGGTGTCGGAGGTCCACTGGTGATCCCCGATTGATCCTAGGGAAGGGTTACAGGCACGTTGGCCTGGGGGGTTATGGGCGCACTGACCCGCTACTGAAATAAGCCCTTTTATCCCAATGGTCTAGTGGTTGGGATTCTGAGATTCTCCTCGCTCCCTGCTGTCACTGTCTCTATCAGAATATTAGGCGCATCTACTTGCAGCATTTGTTCCCTTTCTAAGAGTAGGTATTATAAGGACACGTCTCTCAATGCAACCTGTTTGTACCCCACCACTACCGACAGAAGCCTCGCATCCCAGTCCCTCTTGTACCTCTCCCCATCGGCTCTCAGCCCTCTTTTCACCGTCTATACAAACCTCTTTGTTTACTCGTCACTCTATAGGTGATACTTTGAGGCTTTGTGGTGTGTGATTCCTGTCTCTACCAGCAGCTTCTCAAACTCACCCCAAAACTCTGTCCCCCGATCCTGCAGAACTTCTCCACACGCCCCACATCTTGTGAGCACCTGCTCCTTGAAAGCTTCTACTATGCGCGCCGAGTTTTTACCAGGTAACGCTCTCACCTCTACCCATTTTTACATGTGCTCGATCATTATTGGTATGTACCGTTTTCCTCTGCGGCTCAGCGCCATTTCGCCCCCCAGGTCAAAGGACCACTTGAATCCCAGGCCCCTTCTTGGCATTGACTACAGTTCCTCCCTCCCTCCCTGTAGCTCCACCTTATTCCTACTAGACAACTCGCAGCTCTCCACCCACTTCTTAATCGCTCTCCTCATTCTTCTCCCATTTCTACCATCTGTGTCATTCTTAAGCTTCTAAAATGCCCCAGCTGCCTGCGCACCTTAGCTATGATGCGCTCTCTTTCGGCTTTTCTAGGAACCACCATCCACCCGCTTTTCGTGCTCTTCTTCAGCTGCTCCTGATACTACGTGTAATGTGCGCCTTTTGCCCTTGCCCTGTCAGTGATTGGTTTTGCCTCTATCGTCTTCCCTCTTACCCACCGAAGTATTTCCTCATCCTCCCGCACCTCATCTGCCCCTATCTCTTGCCCACGCCTGGCTCCCTTTCCATCAATTTCCCTGGCCAATGCTACTAGACATGTTGTCAGCCTTGCTGGCAGTAGGTTCCTTTACAACCCATCCACGTGCTGCATTGATTTGCCTCGTTGGTGACTTATGGTGAACTCCTATAGCCACATCGTCATGGCCTGGTTGATAATTAGCATGGCCACTGGCTGGTGCTCTGTCATTCTTTGAAAGTACAATTAGTAGAATGTTATTGCCCACACCTGTAGCTGGCCCTCCCCTTTGTAGGAGCTGTAGCTGGCCTCGGCTAGATTACGGCTCCTTTTGGCAAAGGCCATCACTTTCTCCTTGCCTTCTCTCTCCTTGCATAGTATTGCTCCCACCTTCGAGTTGCTCTAGTCCGTATATAGCATGAGCAGGTCCTCCTTGATGGGTAGCGTTTGCACGGTTACCGTCTTGGTTGCCTTAAGCAGAGCATAGAACGCTCCTTGCTCCATCTCTCCCCATTACCACACTTGCTAATCTCTCAGCCGCCAGCTGGATTGCTACAACCCCTCGAGCCACCCGAACGTGTCAGATTTATATGACTTAGCTGCTGTAGGCTATAATGGGGTAGCACATACGGGGTACAGCTTTCTAGGGTTTGTACTTGTACCCAACTTTCCCTTAGTCATTTCATTCCTCCTTTCTTCTCATGGTTTCAGAGCAGGTTCCCTAGTGGGAACGCTTTCTAGGGTCCACCTCGATTTTTTTTTTTCCCTGCCCGGAGCGCGCTTCGCTTCTGCCCGAGTCACGCCCCAAGTGCCCTCCCTACCGTCGCGCCGCCCTTAGCGGCCCCCTCTCACGGCCCCTTGAGCCCCCCTTACGGCCCCGCGCGCCGCCCTTGCGGCCCCTCGCGCCGCCCTTGCGGCCCCTCACACCGCCCGTCGGCCCCGCGCGCCGCCCTTGCGGCCCCTCGCGCCGCCCGTCGGCCCCGCGCGCCGCCCTTGCTGCCCCTCGCGCTGCCTGTCGGCCCCTGGCGCTGCCCTTCCGGCCCCTTACGGCCCCTCGCGCCGCTCTTGCCCCCCCCCCCCCCCCTACGGCCCCTTCGCGGCCCGCCGTCGCCACCTCCAGCAGCGGCCGCCGCCGTCCCTGCAGTAGCAGCCGCCGCCGCCGTCCATACAGCAGCGGCCGCCGCCGTCTCTGCAGCAGCGGCCGCCGCCGCCGCCCCTACAGCAGCGGCCGCCGCCGTCCCTGGAGCAGCGGCCGCCGCCGCTGTCTCTCCAGCAGCGGCCGCCGCCGCCGTCCCTGAAGCAGCGGCCGCCGTTGCCGCCTCCTACAGCGGCCCGCCGTCGCCGCCTCCTGCAGCGGCAACCATCGCCGTCACTGCAGCAGCAGCCGCCACTGTACCTGCAGTAGCCGTGCCGCCCGAGCTGCCGAGCCGCCATTCCAGCCAAGCCGCCCGAGCCGCCGAGCCGCCCGAGCCGCTGAGTCGCCGAGTCGCTGAGCTGCTGTTGGTGCCGAGCCGCCGAGCCTTCCTAGCCGCCCTGTTTGCTACACCCGGTCACTACCGTCGCGGCCTTGTTCCTACCGGCGAGCCTCAGTCCTTCTCGCCTGCCCGGTAAGAGCGGCACCTCTACCACTGCGCTGCACTTAGCCTACTGCTCGCGTTGCTAGTCCACTACTGTCATGGCTACCCCAAGTGTCCTCGCTTTTGACGCTGAGGGTCGGGCCATTGACTTTGACGCGAGGGTAGATGACCTGCAGCTTTTCCTACAGTGCGATAGGGCAGACGGTCTCTCCCTCTTTGACCTCACTTTTGGTGCCTCTCCTGCCCCTGCTGCTGATGCTGACGCCACTATTCGCTCACAGTGGGCCACGCGCGATGCTGCTGCACGTCTTGCTGTGCGTCGCCACTTGCCTACCTCTGAGCGTGCGCACTTTAGCCAGTACAAGAGTGCTAAGACCTTGTACGACGGTGTAGTTGCACGCTACTCTTCCCTTGCCACTGCTGCACTTAGCCGCCTCATCTTGCCGTACCTCTTCCCTGACCTCGCAGCTTTTCCCGCACTCGCTGACCTCATTACACACCTTCGCACTAGTGACATTCGCTACCACGCTGCCCTTCCCGCTGAGTTCTGCGCCAAGAACCCCCCCCCCTTATGTACATCACCCTCTACTACATAGTCACCCGCCTCCCTGACACCCTTCGCCTGGTCAGGGACCACTTTCTCTCCGTTTGCCCCACCACCCTCACCGTTGACCTCCTCGAGGAGCGCCTCCTAGCAGCGGAGAAGAGCATAGTCGCTGTAGGAGCCTCTCTTGGTGACCCTCGTGCCCCTGTCTTTGAGGGGTGCTCCCCCTCTCCTCTCTTGCCCTCTGTTGCCTCTACTACTTCGGCTGACCTTGTTGGTCTTGAGTCGGTCGGTGCAGCGTCTGCCCCTAGCGAGAGACGTCGCACTGGCAAGGGCAAGGGGGGCAGGGGCGCTAGAGGAGCCAGCGGGGGCGGTGGAGGCGGTGGTGAAGGCGGCAGAGGGGGTGGGGGTGGCGGTGGGAGTGGTGCCGGGGGTGGGGGCGTTGGTGGCGGCAGTGGAGGCGGAGGCGGGGGCGGCGGTGGCGGTGGGAGCGGCGGTGGCGAAGGTGGCGGCGGTGGAGGAGGCGGCAGCGGAGGAGGTGGAGCTGGTCGGGGTGGCGCTACGCAAAGGGTCGGCTCCGGTGGTGGTCAGCTCCAGCAGCATCAGCAGCAGCAGCAGCAGCGCACTCGTGAGTTCCCCCCCCCCCCCCCCCCCCCCCCCCCCCCCTCAGCAGCTTCGTGAGTGGTACACTGCACGCCAGCGGGGTGGGGGTACTGGTCCGTGCACCTACGTCCTACGCACCGGCGACCGCGCGGGTGAGCCGTGCGGGGGTGCGCACTCCACCCAGCGCTGCGTTGGCTGCCTGACGGACACCTGGCGTCACCAGTTCCTTGAGGCCACTGAGATCCCTCGCTGGGGCGAGCTGTCTAGGGCGGGAGTAGCTATCTTTGACCTTGACTTTGATGCTATTCTTGCTGCCATGTATGCTGTGACTATTACTGATGAGGGTGACTGTTACTGGTGTTTTCCGCCCGACACGGGCATTGGGACTGCTGCTCTAGGTACTGGTGAGGCTGCTGCTCTAGGTGCTAGCGAGGCTGCTGCTCTAGGTGCCAGTGCGTCTACTTCTTCAGGTGCTGGTGAGTCTGCTCTATCAGGTACTGCGTCGGCTTTGGCCTCCCACACCTTCACCCTTGACTCGGGGGCTTCTCGCTCCTTCTTTCGAGACCGCACCACACTGACGCCGCTTGGTCGGCCAGTTGCAGTCTCTCTGGCAGACCCCTCTGGGGGTCCTGTCCTTGCTCACTTCTCCACTGTCCTCCCGTGTCCGGCGGCCCCCTCCGGCAACCTGTTTGGTCTTTACTTGGTAAGTGGTGCTGACCTGCAGGATGCGGGGGTTCGCCAGTTCACTCCTGCGAGCCAGCGAGTGACCCACTGCACGGAATTCGTGCCCCACACCCATCGCCAATGTTGCCTCCAACCAGTTCCCCCTCCCATCACCTATCTTCACCGCATTGCATCTATCTCATCCAACCAATTTGATATTTGGAATTTGTACAGTCGTCACATGACTTCCAGTCCAGATCTACATGACGTTGATATAGGGAGCGTCTTTCCCCCCCTCCCTTCTGCGGGAAGAACCTTCAATCTGCGCGGATCTGCAGGGAAGGGAAATTGCCGATCAGCACGGAAATTGCCGTTCACTCTTGCACAAATCGCGGATGTGAATTTGACGGTGGCAAAATGCTTGTCATGCAATCCCGCATCTTTTCGTATATTCACATTTTTTTCGGTCGGGCTGCCCCAAAAACAATTGGCAAGCGTATAGCGTACTAGCTTGCGTTTAGCGTATAAACGCTAGCGTATATCCGCTAAACGCACAGTGTCCTGAGCGTATTTTTTAACTTAGGTGCCCTGAGTGAATCCATATCGAAACGGCCCAGGTTCGACTCGGACGTAACAAAATTTTCCGAGTTGCAATGGAGGAGGGGTGGGTACATGGAGAAGGGGGATGGGGTGCGGTTTGCGAAAAAATCAGATTTTGGATTACGTCATCATGCAAAAGTCAATCTCTGCTGCAGAGACACCCCATTCCCCCCAACCCTCTCCCCTTCCACCTCGCCCTGGCAACCCTAAATCCTGTACAGACGTAAAGTCACCACGCCCTCTTCTACCCTATCCCACTCCACGTCGCCCCCTTGCTCACCCCACACCTTCCCAATGCCTTCCGCCGCCACAGCAACCCCCCCAACCATGCCAAATGTGGCCGTGAGCGCATCTACTTGAAATCGCGAGTTTTGCTTAACTCGACTTGGTCGAGTTGTGTCCCGAAAGAAAATCAATCTCGTAACTCGGTTTGTATGTCCATGTATAATGCTGTCGGTGTGCGAAGGGGAAGGCAGTGGGAGAAATGAGGGAGGAGAGCTAGGGACATCGGGTAGCTGATGGCATCACACCGGGAAAAGAGGTGATTAATTTCGTTCGATGGGGATTTTTTTGTGCTGCTTAACGCGCGTAAGTCTCCTGAAAAAGTCCCCATTCCACCCTGCCACAGCTGCCCAGTCATTCTCTGCAGCATCAAGCCGCTGCCGCTGCTGTCAAGGCTGTGCCGCCCCATCACCACGCTGATGCTGTGACTGCACTCCACACTGCTGCCCACCATGCCACCGCCGCCACCATTGTAGGCACCGCGGCACTGCCATGCTGCCGGTGCTGCGGGAAGCCCAGGGAGGAGGAGGCGTCTGTGAGTGAGAATGGCATTGACTGCCAGCAACGGCGTGACACATCCATGCTCGCGCTCCTCCTGCCTATGCTGCCCGTGCTGCGTGTGCTACCTATGCTGCCTGTTCCTGCTTGTGGCCGCCGCACTCCCTCCATGCCTGGGTGACCTTGTCTCCCTGGCCCTGCTATCCCACCTCCTCCGCTCATGTTCGTATCAATGAAACTGCCGCTCATGCTCCCTCCCATGTTCTGACCCAAGGTCCCCCAAACCCCCCTTCCCCTCCCCACCCCTTCGCATGCTCCCACCTCTGCTCCGCCTGTGTTTCCACAACTGCTCTCGCCCATGCTGCCCCCAAGTCGTCCCTTTGGGGTCGCTCAGCAGAGGAGTTGGTGCTGAGGAGGAGTAGGGGAGGCAAGGCGAGGCGTGCGGAGGAGGGGCTGGGGTGAGGGGCCTGGCATGGGCAGCGGGGGGGAGAAAGAGGAGAGGCGAGGAGCTGGTGGGACGAATGTGAGAAGCAGAGACGTGGTGTCGGATGGCATGTCGTGGGGGACAGTCACAGCGGGCACGCATGTGCAAAGCATACCCAAAGAGCGAGGGAGGGCGGTCATTGAAGCAACGTGCTGGACACAGCCTGCCACCATCCGCACCACCACGGCCGCCGCCCGCCAGTATGCGCGTTCCCCTCGCCCAAACTCCCTGCTAACCCCACGCTACCTGCCTCTCGCTCCTCACTCTGCCTGCCCTCAATTCACCCTGCCGCTCCACTGCGCCGGCTGCCTGTCTGCCCACCGCGCGCAGACGAAGCTGCCGCAAGCTGGGCTGGGGGGGCGAGGCACCGATGCTCACACAAGCAGCAGCTTCAGCTGCACCAGCAGCATGGACGCGCCTCTCCAGCCCGCTCACTCGTGCACACCGGCCCCACGCACCCTTCTCCATTGCGCTCTCCCCTTCCCCCTCCCCATCATTCTCACAGAACGGACCTCACCCACCCCCACTCTCCACCTCACCCACTTCTCTTCCCCGCTGTCCACGCCCAGCGCCCCCAGCTCGTCCATCAGCCACCGCCGTGCCCTCTCGCCCCCACTTCTCTTCGCCGTGGTCGCCACCTCCCGTGCCCTCTCGCCCTCCCCTTGCTCGGAGAAGTTGTTGCGGGACGCGGGGCGGGGGAGGAGGCTACAGCGACGGCGCTGGGAACGCCACAGCCCTCGGTGAAGGGAAGGGGAAAGAGAAGGAAGGGTGGTGGCAGAAGAGTGGTAATCTGCCATGCAAGGAGAACCTTTTGCGACTGGTGTGTAATTGACAGGCATATCTCTTCACCACACCTGCCACTGTTGCTGCCACTGCCCAGCCCTGTAACGCGTTGTTTGAGGAGAGGCGGAGGGCGCAGTGACCACATAGGGAGCGGGCATGGGGCCACCCGACTGCGAGAGCAGGGATGGAGGGGGAGATGGCGTGGTCCAGGGGCGAGGAGGGCCATCACAAAAATGTGTGTGTTTGAAAATCATCTGACGTTCCCGCAGGTCGATCGTATGTTTGACAATCGTTTGAAAAACGTATAGAAAACCTACAAAAATCGTTTGTCCCTGTTGAGACGTTTTGGAGACACTATTCGTATGTTTCCGCTCAATGTTTCTTGCCTGTTGCTGCAGCATTAGGGTTTCGCGACTAAGAGGGGTTGGAGCTGGTCTCCTCGCTTGGAAGATTTGTGTTGTAAACCTGTTCTCGATATAAATGTCTCCTTTTTACTTCTGTGCATTGTTTGTTACAGCAAAGCCTTTGAAGATTGTTTCTTGAATTTGTAAATCCCATTAAGAACATGGGTTTCCAAGTGTCATATTTAACCAATGGTTATTGATTTTGCACCTATTAGATTAAAGAAATGTCTAAAAATATCAATATTCTAGGTTCAAAATCAACGTTTACCACAGTCACATTGGGTCAAAGGCCTCACCATACAAATCTGTTGAGGAGCCTCACTTCATCGTCCTCGCAAGAGGGTACAATGTGCACGAGACTAAGAATGCAGTCTACATCGATCACCGCATAATTATCAACGCCCTCTGTGGGTAAAAGACGCTTGCATCCCGTCAACGGGCATTGTCGCTTGTCTTCGGTGTAGTACTCCACATATGCGCCTCGCCTCAGCTCACCACCCTTGTTGTAATGAGACAGCACAAGGCGACGGCCATACCACAGGGATCCCTTCCCTGCAGGGTTGATCGCAATCGACGAGAAGTTTTGCTGGGCTGGGCTAGCCTTGACGAACTGCCCCCTTGACGTCCATTCCATCTTATCGTGTGGCGGGATCGCAAGTGCCGTGTGCACCTGTCACCACGAGCATTCAACAAAGAAAAAGGGAAAGCAGCGAAAGAGGGGGTGGAGAGCATACGGGAAATGGGGTATGGCCAGGGTTTGCATGGACAGCAGTCTGGAGAGGGGGAACCAGGGGCGGATGGGGTGGAAAGCAAGCAGGAGAGGGGGAACCAGGGGTGGATGGGGTGGAAAGCAAGCAGGAGAGGGGGAACCAGGGGCGGATGGGGTGGAAAGCAACCAGGAGAGGGGGAACCAGGGGCGGATGGGGTGGAAAGCAAGCAGGAGAGAGGGAGCCAGGGGTGGATGGGGTGGAAAGCAAGCAGGAGAGAGGGAACCAGGGGCGGATGGGGTGGAAAGCAAGCAGGAGAGGGGGAACCAGGGGCGGATGGGGTGGAAAGCAAGCAGGAGAGGGGGAAGCAGGGGCGGATGGGGTGGAAAGCAAGCAGGAGAGAGGGAACCAGGGGCGGATGGGGTGGAAAGCAAGCAGGAGAGGGGGAACCAGGGGCGGATGGGGTGGAAAGCAAGCAGGAGAGGGGGAACCAGGGGCGGATGGGGTGGAAAGCAAGCAGGAGAGGGGGAACCAGGGGCGGATGGGGTGGAAAGCAAGCAGGAGAGGGGGAACCAGGGGTGGATGGGGTGGAAAGCAAGCAGGAGAGGGGGAAGCAGGGGCGGATGGGGTGGAAAGCAAGCAGGAGAGGGGGAAGCAGGGGCGGATGGGGTGGAAAGCAAGCAGGAGAGGGGGAACCAGGGGCGGATGGGGTGGAAAGCAAGCAGGAGAGGGGGAACCAGGGGTGGATGGGGTGGAAAGCAAGCAGGAGAGGGGGAACCAGGGGCGGATGGGGTGGAAATCAAGCAGGAGAGGGGGAACCAGGGGCGGATGGGGTGGAAAGCAAGCAGGAGAGAGGGAACCAGGGGCGGATGGGGTGGAAAGCAAGCAGGAGAGAGGGAACCAGGGGCGGATGGGGTGGAAAGCAAGCAGGAGAGAGGGAACCAGGGGCGGATGGGGTGGAAAGCAAGCAGGAGAGGGGGAACCAGGGGCGGATGGGGTGGAACGCAAGCAGGAGAGGGGGAACCAGGGGTGGATGGGGTGGAAAGCAGGCAGGAGAGGGGGAACCAGGGGCGGATGGGGTGGAAAGCAAGCAAGGGAGGGGGAACCAGGGGCGGATGGGGTGGAAAGCAAGCAGGAGAGGGGGAACCTGGGGTGGATGGGGTGGAATGCAAGCAGGAGAGGGGAATGCACCTGCAAGACTTGCGTGTTGATGCCCGCCTGTTTGAGGCGCAGAACCATTGCACTCATGGCGGGTTCACCCAGCGTCAAGACGTAGCTCCGGAACACCGAGTCGGTGATGTCTCCAATGACCATCTTCTTGTGGGTCTTAGTAAGTGCCCTCCGGCCAGCCAGGCGTGCCTGTCACCGTGAAGATGAGAGGGTTGGTATAGGGAGGGGGTGGGGTGAATGGTGTGGGCATTTGGAGGGTGGAAGAGAGGGTGGGGGAGGGGATTGATGCGGGGGAGGCGAAGGAGAGGGCTAGGGACCAGGGGGGAATGAGGGGGGGGGAACGGGGGCGAGTTTGTGGGGACGAAGACGAGGATGGAGGGTAGGAGTCGGTTACTTTGGTTAGGTTGGTCCCGCATCTGATTGCCAACTCATGCAGACACATCAGTGAACATAGCATGGAAACAGTGCTGAGAACAGAGCATGGAAACAGAAAAGGGTACAAAAAAGGGGAACGGACTAGGGGAACAGAGCAGGAGAAGAGAGCAAGAGAGCTGAGAAGGGAAACAGAGCAGGGAAACAGAGCAAGGGAACAGAAAAGTGGAACAGAGCAAGAGAACAGAGCAGGGCAGCCATGTAGTGAGTCAGAGTAGGAGAGCAGAGCATAGGAATAAAACAGGGAAACAAAGCAGACGAGAGTGTGCAAGGGTACAGAGCAGGGGGGACATTGCAGGTTTAAAAGAATCACCTCTTTCATCGAAGTCTCGTACGTGCTGTCCCCGCCGGCCTCCCGCGCTAGTTGTCTAACTACCGCGTGCTCCATGTGTTTCCGAACGATGCGATCTTCGACATTCTTCCAATTCGTGCCACGTGAAGGACGCTTCACAGTGGTCTTGTGGGAGTGCTCAAACAATTCGACGAGTACTCTGCGGGGATTCCCCGAAGACGGATGGTTGACGGGAGGTGGACAAGGAGATGAATTTTCACTATTTTCCACTTTGACTTCTGCTTAGGAAATGCAACACGTGAAGCCTTCACCATGCTGGGGAGAGACAGTCGAGAGCATGCATGCAGTTAAGGGGTGGAATGCAGGCCAGGAAGGGAGAAACGACACGAGGGAGGGGGGGTGAGGAATCATGCAGTCAAGGGAAAAAAAAGGGTTTAGGGTAGTTAAGCAGGTGGGGTATGGAAGAACATGGATGCAAAGGGTCAAAACAAGATGAAAGGGAAGGGGTGGGGGGGGGGGGGGGGGGGGGGGGGGAAGAGCATGTAGGTACGGTTGATGCAAGGAAAATGGGTGTATGTGGCAATGAACGGCTTGGGAGCCCACACAACAACAAGAGTAACTACGTGATGGTGGTACTCAGCGCGAATAAACTCCTTGTACCACTCGACCATGAGCACGATTGCCGTCCGGACATCTTTCCGTCTTGGGAGATCGATTATGAGAGGCAAGACCTGCATCATCGCACGATGCTCTGAAGCTGAAAAAGAGGCAGTGGATGTAAAGTAGGCCCACGCCGAAGGCAGACGGAGCACGGAAGCTGGTGTGCCCTCCTTCAAAATCTTGTATTGCCTAGAGAGAAGGAACGGTTCAGCATGGTGGAAAATGCAAGCAAGGAGGGCAGGAACGGTTCAGCATGGCACGGAAAGCAAGCAAGGAGGGGAGGAACGGTTCAGCATGGCGCGGAAAGCAAGCAAGGAGGGGAGGAACGGTTCAGCATGGCGTGGAAAGCAGGCAAGGAGGGGAGGAACGGTTCAGCATGGTGCGGAACAACTCACTCCAGAAGAATCTTCCGTTCTTTTGGAGTCAGCTTCTTCACAAGGCACTTCATGGCATGCAGCCATATGCCTTGCTCCCATATGTGCATGATGTCCGGGGGGACAGCGAGGTACGTGTTGCCCCAGAGAGTCTTTGCGAATTCCCAGTCCCACAAAAGGCTCTGCGTTGTGGGTCAAGGACACAGAGTCACTATGGCGGGTCGGGGTAATAAACACAAACAGCTGGCTGCGGATTGGAGTAGGTTCCCATGCACACTAGCCAGTGCAGTATATGGTGTGGATTGAGGGAAACCAGATGAGATGCGCGGCAATGCATGCGGAACAAGCTATGCAAGGGTTACCTTCACAAAGTGAGTAGAGGTCTTCTTCTTCACCGCCTTCAGCTTCTTCTTGATCTTTGCTGATTCCATCTCCTTGTACGCATCCTTCTGACTCTTGACAGTTCTGAGGACAATAGTGTCTTCTTGCTCTTCCAGGCACTCCTTATCAGGGGGCGTTTGAGTCAACTCAAACGTCATCGCATCGAGGTGCTCCTTATCAGCCAAGCACAACGAGCACGGATGGAGCGAGTTGCATGCCATTGTGCAAGTGACCTTAGAAGACTTCGGGTGATCTGTCACCCATGAATATAGAAGCGTGAATGCTCTATATTGCACACCGGCACTGTCTTCCACCATCACCCCGCCCCTGCACAGCCGCCAAGGATGAAGGGGGAAACAGGGAGGTAGAGGGGGGATGATGGGATAACACGTCGGAGATGGGAGTAACGGAGTGAGCATGGGCGGCCCTAAGCAAGCAGATGAAGAACGGTTAGGAAGATGGGGACAGCAAGTAGGGAAGGCATTAACGGCATGAGATGGTGGCAAAGCAAAGTTATGACTGAATACAGCGTTGTGGCACGCATTCGAAGGAGGACCAGATGTGAACAAGGGTCAACAAAGCGAGCGGAGAGGGTATGCCTCAGGGAAAGAATATCAGAAGGGTAGTGGGGTGGAAACGTGATGGAGTGGTTGGTTTGACCAAACCAACCGGCTAATGATAGAAACAGCAGGGTGGGAGGATTATAAATAGGGATGAGGGAGAAAACGTAGTACGATGACGGAGATTACTAGGGATGCGCGCCTTTGGGTGACAGTAGTGTTGACTCACCCTTTCAGATGTGAAGCCGCCTTTAAATCTTTAATCATGATCTCTGCAGCGCGCTGGAACACTCAAACCTTTTCTTCCGGCGAGAGGTCAGCTGGGATATTAGGCAGAAGCCCGAGAAGCTCAGTGCCTCCTTCGAGCCACCTAGCCCATTCCTGAATGTTCCCAAAAGACAAAAGAAATGGGTGGGCGGATTGGCTCTCACTGGCATTCAGACGCTTCTTGGGCAGACGACCAGGCTACTCTGCGGTCGTCTCATCGTTACTCCTTCAGTCTTGGCTCTGGTTTAGTTTTTGGCGTTCTACTCGCTCTTCTTCTATTCTCAGCTCCAGTTGTGAGGTTGAGATCTACGCCACAGCCATGGCGGCCCAGGAGCTACGCTGGCTCACGTACTTGCTGACCGACCTTGGAGAGCAGCCTCGTTCTCCTCCAGTGCTGTACGTCGACAACAAGGCAGCCATTGCCTTGTGTGAGGAGCACAGACTGGAGCACAGAACAAAGCACATTGCTGTGCGCTACTTCCTTGCTCGAGAGCTGCAGCAGCGTGGTCAGCTTCGTCTGTGTACGTGGCCTCTGAGGCCAACACTGCTGATGTGTTCACCAAGGCGCTTCAGCCTTGTGACCATCAGTGCTTTTGCACTCTTCTAGGCCTTGTGCCTACTGTACCTCATTTGCTTACTTCTTGAGTCTGTTTGTACTGTGATCTCTATATATATGTCCCTGCATGTTTACTCTTGCTAGGTTGTGATCATTGTACCGCTTGTTCTATTATAAACGTGCATGTGAACTGGTCTTGTGACCACTTGCTTGTGCTCGGAATTTGTGTTGTATCCTTGAGATCCACCCTGAGCTTGTTTTGCCTTGCTTTGCTTTGACTGGTCTTGTGACCCCTAGTTCTCCCCACTTCGCCTATGGGGGTGTGAAAAACATTATATATGTTGTTGTGCTTGTTTAGGCTACAGTGGGTTAGCCTGTAGGGGGTACACAATTCTAGGGTTAGGTATTTGTTATGTTTTCACTCTTAGTTCATTCATTCTTGTTCAGTTGTTCCAACAATGGGGTTCGCCGCTACAGTACCCCTGCAAACACGGACTGGATGCTGGAGGCTTGGGTAAGTTTGGTTTCAGCTCATGTCGCGTTTGACAAGACCGTCGAAACGTAGGATCCAATTCAGATTTCCATCACTTTCTCATTCACTGTGGCAGGATAGGGTGCAGAAGTATGGCATAGTGATAGCGCTCATTCTGTTCCCGGACTAGACCAATCTATCACATAACGGACTTGCCCTCCAAGCACTAGCCCCATGCCCGACGTACTGCACAAGTAGTGCAACACCCTCTTGGCTACATCCATGTGCTCCTTCCGGTGACGTCCGAGAGCGACATAGCGTGCAAGAATGCTAAGAGGGTATGCAAGGTCAGGTCAAGTGCAGGTCATCAGATACATGAGGCAACCCACAAGCTCTGGATACAGGCCACTCGGCTCTACGAACTCATCCGAAGGCAGAGCTGAGAGCGAGTGACCGGTAGGCAGAGGAGTGGGCAGAGGCGAGGAGTACGTGAAGCGGAAGCGCTGAAGGACCTGCTGCACCATGTGTGACTGAGTCAAGGTGATGGTGCGGCGTGCTCTGTCCCGGGTGATCCGCAAGCCAATATAGCTTGTCAGTTCACCCAGGTCTGTGCACGCGTGTCTCTTCTGCAGCTCGGACTTCAGGTGGGCGAGTCCAGCAGTGTCAGCAGTGGCAAAGACCAAGTCGTCGACGTACACGAGGACGTAGAACGGCGGCAGTGAGGTGTCGGTGCGTAGAAACAGCGACGGGTCAGCAGTAGAAGGCGCGAACCCAAGAGCCGCAACTGTAGTCCTCAGTGTGTCGTGCCACTCACGTGGGGCTTGGCGGAGACCGTAGACTGGCCGTCCGAGGCTCCACTGGGTACCAGGAGGGAACGACCCAGTGAAGCCAGGTGGACGGCGCAGCCAGATCTCCTCGTGCAGGCTGCCCTGTAGGAAAGCAGTGCTGAAGTCAAGCGAGTGGAGCTCGTAGTCACGCTGAGCGGCAACGTGCAGCAGAACCCGAAGAGTGGTCATCTTTGGGGTCGGGGAGAAGGTCTGGAAGAAGTCAACTCCCTCTCGCTGACTGAAGCCTCGTGCAACGTACCGCACCTTGAAGACAGGCGGAGAGCCCGGCGGCCGCTTCACCCTGAAAATCCACATGCCACTGACAATGTTCGCCCCAGGCGGGGGAACCTCGTCGACGTAGGTGCCTGTGGACTTCCAGGAAGCCATCTCTGTGTCCATGGCCGACTGCCACTGAGAGGAGTAGGGACTGGCCATCGCCTTTGCGTAAGAGCGTGGGGTCGGGATGTCTGGTACATCCGGGTCTCCCTCAGGGGCAACAAGCATGGACACGAGATCGGGCAAAGCGGCAGCAAAGCACTCGAACTCCTCGTGCCTGTCCTCAAGGACGTCAGTGCCAAGAGCACACTCACCCCCGACGGACGGAGGACAGACAGACTCAGAGTTAGCAACCAGGCTAGCAGCGTAGTCTAGACGACAGGTGGCAGCAAAGTGGACAAGCTCAGCAACTAAGGCAAACGCAGCAGCAGACTGAAAGGAAGGGTCAGTAACAACAGTAGCCAGGAGACGCGTGACAGTAGGACTGGCAGCACGAAGGGAGTCTGACCCCGGGTCAGCAAGAGCAGGAAGAGAGGACGCAGCAGGAGACGGCAGTGGGACACGCTGTGGAGCAGTGGACGGACGAAGCGCCATCCGGTGAGTGCCTGGGACAGCAGGAAGACGCTGACCCGAGACACGACTACCAGTGAGAGCAGCACGGACAGGCGACGCACGACGAGACTCAGGTGACGCAGGACGAGACTCAGGCTCACGACGCTCAGTAAGACCTCCGGTCGGACTAGTTTAAGGAGCAGGACCAGGGAGAGAGGAGGCAGACGGTAGCTGGGCAGACAGAGGACACCCTAATGAGGGAGGAGGACACGGAGGAGGGAGCGGACCAAGAACCTGCTCAAGGAGTGGAACGAAGTACGGCCGCGGCCGTGCACCGACACCAGAATCAGTAGAGACACCCACACCAGGGTCCTCAGCACCAGCAGCAGCTCCAACGCCCGGGTCCGCAGCACCAGCAGCAGCTCCAACACCTGGGTCCTCAGCACCAGTAGCAGCTCCAACACCCGGGTCCTGAGCATGAGTAACAGCTCCAACGCCCGGGTCCGCAGCACCAGCAACAGCTCTACCGCCCGGGTCTGCAGCACCAGCAGCAACTCCAACTGCAGCGGGGTCCGTGACACGAGGCGTGCCACTCCGAAGAGTGCAGCGCTGCTCGTACCACTCACGGATCCGCTCACGGGAGGAGAGCTCCCGACTAGGAGGAGAAGCACTAGTACCTGTCCGAGTAGTACGTCCGGCTAAAGAGGTACCTCTCCTGAGGCTGCAATACTGTAAGTACCACTCACGCAGGTGCTCCGAGAGGGCTCCCCCAGGTGTAGGACTCCCAGGCTCAGTACCTCCAAACTTAGAACCCCCAGACTCAGCACCCCCAGGCTCCACACCCCCAGGCTACGCACCCCCAGGCTCCGCACCCCCAGGCTCAACACCCCCAGTCCCGGCACCCCCAGGCTCAGCACCCCCAGTAGGACGAGAGTCCAAAGCTACCTCGACAGGCTCAACCGGGTCTACCTGAGACACACCTGAGGGAGCGGCACCCTGAGGGGTGAGGGGGTCTACAACAGCAGCACCTGGCGCGAGGAAGAGAGGCGGGGGGGGGGGGGGGGGGGGGAGCGGGGCAGTGTGGTAGGGGAAAGAGGCGGTAGTAGGGGACAGACTCGTCAAAAGTGACGTCCTGAGAGGGCAAGACTCGGCGCGAGGTGGCGTGGTAAAACTGCCAACCAGACACGTCCGGGACAAAGCCGAGGAAGACGCAGGGAACAGCACGGGAGGAGAGCTTGTCCGCAGACGTATCGCGGACAAAAGCTCGACATCCCCAGACCCGGAAACGCGACGCATCGCCAACCTCCCCCGTCCACAACAGTGTGGGCGATGTCTCCGGCAAGGAGACACGGGGCCAGAGGTTGAGCTGATGCGCAGCGTACCAGACCGCAAACGGCCATAGAAAGTGGGGGGCAGCCGCATGGATCAAGGAGGTACGGGCGACCTCCATGACCAAGCCAATGCAGCGCTCTGCAACCCCATTCTGCTGTGGAGAGGCCGGAAGCGTGAACAACTGCTCAATGCCATGCTTAGCACAGTAGGCTGCCAAGAGGTCGGAGGAGAACTCGCCACCTCTGTCAGAGTGCAAGCGCAGGACAGGAAACTCCGAGTGAAAACGCTCGCTGAGCTGGAGACGTGCTCTGCGGATCCAAGGGATCAAGACATCAGGGACCTCACCCTTGGTGCGCAAGGGGAAGACCGTGGTGTAGCGCGAGTAGTTGTCAACAACTATCAGGAAGTACCTCTCCTGACCCTGACCACGGACGCGAGCTAGGCCCCACATGTCCATGTGGAGCGTCTGCAAGGGAGCAGTCGTCGGGGGAAACGAGGAGGAGTGAGGAGCGGCGCGCTGCCGTCCCCTCGACACAGGGGAGACAGGTAGGAGCAGGTGAGGGAGGGAGGGGAGGAAGGACCCCCGGGAAGGCTAGAGACAAGGTACGGGAGTGCATGGCACGAAGCCGCTGCACAGACGGGTGGCCAAGGCGGGTGGTGCCAGAGGACAGTCTCGTGTGCCAGAGAGCAACACGAGCAGGGGGGCGACAGCTAACCTGACGCGGACGCAGACGCAGACGCAGCAACCTGAGGGGAGTCAGTAGTAGTCAGTGTGTACAGGTCCGACCCCGGCTGCCAAGTGAAGGTAGCCAAGTGACGGCCCGTACGAGCACACGTACAGTGTGTCACGAGCTCGTAGGCAAGGGTGAACTGGTGAACACCCCCGTCCTGGAGCGCACATCCTGCCACCAAGTTCGTAGAGAACGAAGGGAGGACAGTGGAGGAGGTCGCAATGACCAGATCCCCAAAGGGGTCAGCAAGGGAGACAGCAACTGGCCGAGCAAGCGGCTCAAGGGCAGTGCGGTCACGAAAGAATCAGCAAGAAGCACCTGAGTCCAGTGTGAAGGTGTGCAGTGCTGCAGTCGACTCAGTACCAAGGGGGGCAGACGCACAAGCACCTAGAGGTGCTGCCTCACCAGCACCTGGGGTAGCCGACACGCGAGTACCTGGAGCGGCAGACGCACTAGTCCTAATGTCCGGGCCGGGCGGCACACACAGGTACTCAGCACCCTCTCCACTAGTAGACATCACATACATAGCAGATAGAATAGCATCAAAGTCTAGAGCATAGATATCAATCCCCTTCTTCAGGAGATCAATCCAGCGGGGCAGCTCAGTGGCCTGAGGGAACTGAAACAGCCAAGCGTCGTCGAGACGAGCGAAGTAGCGCTGTGTGACGTGCGATCATCCACACTGCCTGACCAGTCTGCGGTCACCAGTGTGAATGACATACGTGCAGCTAAAGCCACCCCCACCCCCGTGCAGAGAGTACCACTCACGGACCCCCTAGGGCGAAGGAGTGTGCTGCTGGCCCCGGCTACCACCGGCGCCTCCACGACCACCACCGCTGCGCCACCTCCTCGACCACCCCAACCCCCTGCTGCCGCCTCGTCCACCGCCACCCCAACCACCGCCTCCGCCCCTGCCACCTCCCCCGCCGCTGCCGCCACCACCCCCACCGCTGCCACTAGCCCCTCCAGTCGCGCCACCACCCCCACCACATCCACCGCCCCCACCGCCGCCTCCCCCGCCGTCACCGCCACCACCCTTGCCCCCTTTGCCCTTGCCGCTGCGGTGCTCGCTCGAAGCAGAAGTAGTACCGACCTTCTTAGCACCAAGGAGGTCGACAGCAGCAGCAGAGGCGGACAGAGGGAAGAAGGGGGGAAGGAGAACACCCCTCAAAGAACGGGGTACGGGGGTCGCCACGAGAGGCACCTACAGCGACTATGCTAGTCTCACAGCTGCAAGCAGTTCCTTCTCGAGGAGGGCAATGGGTGAGCTCAGTTGGGCAGCGAGCCAGGAAGTGGTCCCTGATAGCACGAAGTGTGTCAACGGAGGCGGGTGACTAGGTGGTAGAGAGTGAGCCAGAGTGGGGGGGGGGGGTGTGTGGCAAGCAACCTCAGCGGGCATGGCGGCACGGAAGCGGGCCTCACTGGTACGGAGGTGCGTGATGAGGTCGGCGACTGTGTGGAACGAGGCCAGGTTGGGAAATAGGTAGGGGAGGGAGAGACGGCCGAGAGCGGCAGAGGCAGGTGAGGAGTAGCGAGCAACTACAGATGTGTACAGTGCCTGTGCAGTCTTGTGCTGGCCGAAGTGCTCGCGTTCATCTATTGGCAAGGGAGACGAGTTGCGAAATAGCGACAGGCGAGCTGTGGGCATCACGAGTCTGCCACTGTGAAGCGAGCTACGTGCTGTTAGTAGTAGCAGCAGGGGTAGTGACATGGCCTAGGGCGTGGTCATACAGTGAGATGTATCCTTGGCTTTGAGCTGTAGATAGAGGTGCAGGTCATCTAGCCAGGTGTCAAACTTCACTAGGCGGCCCTCAGCATCGAAAACTAGAACTTGTGGGCTAGCCATAGGAGCAGTAGAAGTAGCAGCAGTAGCAGTAAGAGAAGTAGTTAGGGCGGTTCAGTTCGGGCAGGGCGGCGCGGCTCGGGTGGGGCGGCTGGGTTCGGGTCGGGTCGCGCGGCTCGGGTCGCGTGGCTCGGTTCGGTCGCGCGGCTTGGCTCGTCTCGGCTTGGCGGTAACGGGCCGCTAGGGGCCTCTAGGGACGGTGGGCGCGGTGCCGGTTGGGGCCTCTAGGGACGTGGGCGCGGGGCTGACGGGGCCGTTTGGGGCCTAGGGAGGTGAGCGCGGGGGCCGTTCGGGCGCTTAACGGGGCCTCTAGGGGCCGACGGGGCCGTTCGGGGGCCGCTAGGAAGGT